ACAACATGTCTACACAACATGTCTACACAACATGTCCACACACTGTTTTCTAGATTTCTGGAGAGTTCACGTCCGAATGTGAGAGAAAACTAAACGAATCAACTAGTTATTATTCATCACATGGTTAATGTGATAACAATCATGTTATCATCTCCGTGTGCGGCCGCTGGTGCGTCCAGTCCAATAAAACAAGCGCACCTTGTTCAGTCGTGTGAAAACTCCTGTTGTTCTTCTTTTCTTTTTTTTTTTTAGTATAAATGTTGTTTTCTTACAAGAACTTGACAAACAAGAAGAGAGGAGAAAAGAAAAGTACTTTATTAGAGCGTCTGTTGAAGCTGTCACCGCACAAATTCATCCTGCGCTGTCTGTCAGGGTCCAACACTCACACACACACACACACACACACACACACTCATACTCACACACACAAGGCTTGGTCGGGGGTCTGTGTGCTGGAGCGGACGAGCTGTCAGATGTGGGGTTTTGGGGGGAGGTCGGGGGGAGAGATGGGGGTGGAGGCTGTCAGAAGCTGCAGACGAGGACAGATCGCAGTAGAGTTACAACCAACATTTATTTGGGGCAGACGAGAGTTCGGCCGCCTGTCAGGAGTCGGGTTTTTGGTTCACGCTTTGACAACAGCAGAAAACACACAGCGGCTTTTTCTGCAGTGAAAAAAAAAAGAGGGAAGAGTTTTACTTCACGTTGCGGCTGCAGGTTCCAGACTAACTCCAGAGATTAGACGGCTCCACTCCTACTCTCAGATACTTTTATAATCTGAGGGATTTTATTAAACTCGTCCTCTCTGATGCTTTTGATTCTCTTAAAAAAAAAATAGTTTGCATAACTTGACTTTAAACTTTTATTTCTGGCTCAGGATTTAATTTACTCTCTGCACACGACTCGAACTTTAGTTTACGAGAAACTAATTCTGACTTTCAGTCAAAACTCCGCCCACGCTGATTCGTTTTCATTTCAAACTAAAAAACACGTCCGACAGAAACGCTTCAGTCGGTTTGATTTTCACGTCAAGTAGAATCAGTCACATCTATTTATTTTATTGTTGAATATTTCCTCCTTGTTAAGGTTTCAATTAAAAACTTTATAGACACACACACATCACCATGACATCACCCTGACATCATTATGACATCACCACGACATCACCATGACAACAGCATGAGGTTTCACAGTTTGTGATGAAAAGAATCCACATATTTAAGTTTCGTGTTTTAACGTCAGAGTCGATCAGTGAATTAAACTCATCTCCTGGTGACGTTCTTACTCTGTGGTGAGGTTCATCACTGCTGGTCAGATTACTGCACTACTCCGCCCCCTGTGGGCACAAAACAGAAACAACAGCCAGAGTTAAAACCAGTTTCACTGTCTGAGACGTTTTTCTAAAGAGTAAATCATTCAGGATCATTTTCATTCTTTAGTTCACTTGATTTTATTGTTAAATTAAATCTGTCTTTCTTCTTCTTCTCACAAAGAACAAGAAAGACTAATATTTTTGAGGACCTGCTGCTTTTCTCTTTCATTTCACTAATTAAACACTGAGCTGCCTCCGGCATCACTTTCAATGTTCGGATATAAAACCTCCTCAGTCTGAGACGTCAGGACGTCGCACAGCTTGTGTTCGTGTGTCGTCTCATTCTGAGCAGAGTTTGAACCCAGTTTTTTATTTCCAGCCTTTTTAACTTATGTTGCACTTTTCTCTGTCACGCCTTCCTGCATCAGGAGATAGAGGAGGTAGGACCGGTCTGTGTCTGTCTGTCTCTGTGTGTCTGTCTGTGTGTCTGTCT